GGACCTGCTAGGACAGCCAAGCCTAGCCTCGGGGCACAGGACAGTGGCTGGGGCTGGGCCTGGCACACAGGGCTGCTGCTCACCTGAGTCCCGGGCCTCTCCTCTGTCCCCTGGTGTCCCTGCCACACGCGAGAGCCTGGATGTGGAAGGTGGATGAGGGCAAAGGAGGAGACTCAGCGGCAAGGACTGAGGTCTGAGATGTCACACTGAGGGGTCCCAAGCCCTGGGGAGCCAGCCTGCCCCCCCCACCCCAGGAGGAGAATCCGGGCGTGTGCTGCGGGTGATTTGCATAATATTCCCTGCAAGTTAATATCAGACTCTTGATAATGATCTCGGTCGCTTCGCAGCGACAGAGGCGCTGTTACAACACTAAGTAATCATATTTTAAATTATGTTTCCCTTTATAGAAAGGTGTTGCGAAAACACACAGACATGAAATCTGTCTGCTGTAGCCCACTGCCAACCACCTGACCAGCTCCCCACACCCAGCGGTGCCTGGGGCCGTGTGTGAGAGCTGACCAGGGATCCCAGGTGATCGCAGACCCCTGCCCCTCACCCGTGGCACCCCCCCCTCCCACCAGGGCCAGATGCCACCCTGAAGTCCAGCAGCCCCGGGGAGGAGACCAGGCTCCCCCTTCCAAGATCCCCCAGTCCTGGCCCCAGGACAGACACAGCCCACGGAACCAGGAGGTACAACAGGCACCCAAAGTTATGGGTAAGGGGGCCTGCGTGGAAGGACCATGATTCCCATTCCTGCTTTCCTCTTTCTTCCTGCAGGACCACTCAACCTCTATTTCCTTAAAAGCTTTTTCCCCCTTTTTTATTAAAAAAAAAAAAATCCAATTATAGCACAAATCTCTCAGCAGGGGTCAGTATGGAATAAGAATAGCCAAAGTTAATGGACGTGACACAGGCCAGATTAATGCCTAAAGGGTTTCAAAAGTTGTATGATGAAGATTTCATTAACATTTTAATTGTAATGTATCTTTTTAATCTTCTCTCACCCTAATGGCTCTATATCTGGAAAAAAAAAAAAGGAAGGAAAAAACTGCTGACAACAACAAAAAGTATCAATATACAAAATTTAACAAAGGCCCCTAGCAGTGCACTGTGAAGTAGATTAAATGAACAAAACTGTGTGAGCGTTGTGATTTGGAAGAGCCTCGGCAAAGAGCTATTTCTTCCCTTCTTGGCACAGAGACACTAGGACAGCAAAGGCCAAGGACGGGCTGGGAGCAGAAGCCTGGGGGGCGCCCTGCCCAGAGTGTCCCCCGGGGCTCAGGTGGCGCTCCTCCCCAGGGGCCTCCTCCAGAGCCCAGCCAGTACCACCAGATCAGCTCCAACCAGTGCCCAGAACGGAGATGCAGGGAGGAGACACGGGCAGCAGTGGCGCACGGCGGGGCGCAGGCCCCCCAGGCTGTCAGAAGAGTCCCAGCATTGTGCGGGGCATCCAGCCTCTAATGCCCAGTCAGGAGCGCCGGGCAGCTCTGGCCACTGGCCATTACGGACTCCAACTTTCAAAAACAAAAATGGTGTTTCCCAAGAGGTACTTGGCCCCCACAAGAGGGCTTGAGAGATATTTACTCTCAAGCAACAGTCCCTGAGGCCTGACTCCACGGCACCCACTAATGCCCTGAGCCAGACCCCTGGGCCCCCCACTGCCACCCCTCCCCCTGGACTGCGAGGGGCCCCCACCCACACTCGGAACAGACCGCCCTGGAGGAGCAGCTCCGCTCACCCCAGTGACTATATATGGGCACTTTCAGGTCCCTCCGTTCCCGCCTGCTCCCAGCTCCCGGCTCCCAGGCAGAGGCCTGGGCCCTGGTAGGCCTGGACTGACAGCAGCCCCCAGCAGCCCTGGGCCTGCCCTCTGACGCCCTGACCAGTGTAAGGGGGAGGGGTGACATTCCTCCAGAGACTCAGAAAGTGCCTGGGGGGGGGGGGGGTGGAGGAGCTTCCCTTAAAGGGCCACTGCTTCCCCCCAGGGACCCTGCCACACTGAGGCAGGCCGGGATTGGCCAGCAGGGAGCCTGCTCACCCTCAGGGACTGTGTAACAAGATGGGGCCCTGGGAGGGCAGCTTACTTGCCTGAGCTCACACAGCCTGGGTGGATGGGGGGTGATCTCCATGTGGGGACCTGAGTCCTGGCCCCCACCCCCACCCCGGGGTGTCCCAGCTGGAGAGCACTGGGCCCAGGCCAGGTTGCAGCACCACCACCACCTGAGCCTTAGACCTCACCCCTCTCTCAACAGACCAGGTGCAGCACGGATTCCACCAGCCTGCAGCCCAGGGGCTGCACCGGAGAACAGAGCGGCACACAGGTCCTCACAAACTCCCGCACGGAGGGGAGGCGGACGGAGGGGAGGCGCGGCTAGCTGCAGGCCGGCTGGTGGCAGGTGTCGGTGACACCTGGGAGCCCTCCGCCCCGCAGGGAGCATATTTTGCAAATGACCTCATCCAAGTGAGAGCCCTGCCGGGGGGTGAAAATGTGCTAAAAAAGAAACAGAGGTGGCCAGGACCTCAGCTGGGAGAGGAGCAGGGAGCAGTCCCCAGCGGGAAGCTGGGATGGGTGGGGAAGGGGGAGGGCCGTGGGTGCCTCCCACCCCCACCCCCACCCCGGAGAGGATGAAGAAGAGACCTGGGCTGCCAGGTTCCCCCTCCACCTGCTGGTGTCCAAGGTCCGGACTGCTCCCGCGCAGGCCCAGCAGGACCAGGGGCTGTCCAGAGCAGCTTGGCACGGGATGGCATGTGAGGGCAGGCACCTGGGGAAGCCCAGAGCCCCACATGCAGGGCTGCCCCAGTGAGGGGCCTTCAACACACGCCTAGTCACATCATGCCCACTGGACTTCACCAAGGGGCAGGCGCACTCCCCAGCGGCAGCTCAGACCCAGTGTCCCAGCAGCTAGTGGCGCTGGTCCCTCACCCAGGGAAGGTCCTTCCCACCCCACCCCACCCCACCCCACCCCACCCCGCCCGGCCCACAGGCATCCCCACAGGCCTCAGTTCTCCTCTATAAAAGGCCAATCAGGCTTCCTCAGCCTAGGGCATTCACTCCTTGGAGGCAAATGATTCTGTGTCTAGGCCCAGCCCAGCAGCAGTGGAGAAGCTGAAGCCGTGGGTTGAGAACCCAGCCCCAGTGGGCAGGACAAGTATCCTGCAGTGAGAGTCCCCCTCTCACAAGAGAAGGAGGGCTGCTATGGCCCAGTCCCCAACCCAGTAGGTCCCCACCCAGAGCCTGGGAGCCCAGGGTCCAGAGGCCCAGGGTAGGGTCTGCATGGGTTCATGGGCAAAGGGTCTGGCAGACCCTGAGCCCATTCGTGACATCATATGGCCCCAGCAGCCAGCCAGCTGCAGAACCCAGGAGAGGGGCAGCGGGTCATTTCCAGGCTGTGAGAGGCAGGGGTCAGGCCTGGGACAGTGTGCAGGGGGCACAGCAGAGGGCTCACCGAAGAAGGCAGCCTGGGGCTGGCATCTTGGGATTGGGCACGGAGCTCAGAGGCAGGTGCTACTAGAACCTTGAGCACACATCCTGTTCAGGACAAAACCATCGTTCTTATGCTCAGTCCCCAGAACAGAGGACCACTGTGCTGAGGCCAGAGAAGGCCTCGGAAACCAAACTGCCCACCCTCTTCACAAAGGACGCCGGAGGCATGCCAGCCCTCAGCACATCAGTGCAGCACCGGAAATCACTGTACTTTTATGGAATAACTCGGGCTCCTTCCCGCTCTAGCCCAAAGCCCAGAGCCTTGGCAAACTTGTCAGAGTCACCCACAAGCCCCCTCCTGGAGGGCCGCTGTGCGCCCCCCACACCTGCCCGCAGTCCCAGGACAGAATACGGAAGAGCAGGCCAGGTGCAGCCTGGCGTCTCCTCCCTGCAGCCCTCCTGCTGCTCCAGGAGGTCTGCCCAGAGCCCACGATGGCTGCAAGTTCACGGTCAGCTCCTCGACTACCATGGTGGACAAACCTTCACCAGACCAGCCCTGGGTGTGACCACTGAGGAAAGATCCCTGGCCATGGAGGAGTGACAAGTGACATCTTGTTCTACTTGTGGCGATGCCAACGGGCACGCGGGGCCAGCTTCCCCCCTCTGGCTAGGGCTGCGGACGAGCCAGTGGTGGAATGGCCACGGGGCCTCCTGGTGATGGGCACAGCAGGAGGACCAGAACAGGTGGCTTGTGGGCCTCAGGAAGTCTTCCTTGGTGACTGCCTGGCCCCCTGCAGACCGCGCACCCTTCTGTCCTTCAGTAAGCCCAGCCAAACCCCCAGACCCCGACCCGGTCCCGGAGCCAGAGAAGGCTGAGTCCGGCCGGGTCCACCTGGAGGACGGGAGGGAATTGCCGTCCTCGCTCCCCAGAAGCCACCGGGCCTCGGCCCCCCCTCCCCGTGCGCACGGGTGCGCGGGAGGACCGAGCCCACCGGCCGGGGGACCCGGCGCATCTCCTGAACCCTGCGCCCCAGCGGGCAGGGCGGGCACGGGGAGGGCGGCGCGGCCGATCCGGAAACGGACCCGTGAGGCCGCGGGCCTGAGGCCGGGGCTCCGGGAGGGAGACCCACAGACCGCCGCCCAGGGACCCGCGGACCCCGCGGCGTCCCGCAGAGCCCCGGCCTCGGCGCCAGAGCGCGGCCCGGCGCGCGGAGGGGTCCCCGGGCCGGGGAGGGGTGTGTCGCCCCCTGCGCCGGGCCCCGCGGGCCGTGCGGCCGCCGCCCCCCCCATCCCGGCCCGCGCCGCCCCGCCGCCCCCGCTGCTCCCGCTCCCGCGCCGCCGGCCCGCGCCGCCCCGCCGGGCCCCCCCCCCCGCTCCCGCCCCGCCGGGCTCCCCCCCCCCCCCCCGCTCCCGCTCCCGCCCCGCCGGGGCCCCCACTCCCGGCCGCGCCCCGCCGCGGCGGCCGGGTACTGCGGCAGGGCGGCGCGCGCAAGTTGGCGGCCCGCGCCCCGAGTTTGCGGGAAGTGCGGGCGGCGGCGGGACGAGCCGCCCGCGGCGGGCGCCGAGTCGGCCGTACCTGCGGGCGCCCGGCCCGGTCCGGCCTGGGCCGCTGCGGCGCCGCCCGCGGCAGGAAGTGCTCCGGCGTCCCCGCTCCGCTCCGGCGCCCGCGGACTTTCTCCGACCTCGCCCAGCACCGGCGGCCGCACCGCGGCGGGGCGGGGCGGGCGGCGCGGGGGCGGCGCCGCGGGCCGTTTAAAGGGGCCGCGCGCCGGGGCCGGGCGCGCGCTGGGTGGCGGGAGGGGCGCGGAGGGGGGCGGGGGGCGGCGCGGACGCCCGGGCTTGTGGGGGGACCGGGCCGGGGCCGCGGGCCCGCCCGCCGGGGCGCCCCCGTCCCCAGCGCCCCTCCCCACGCGGCCGCTCTCCGCGCCCCGGGCCCGGCCCGGCCCGGCCGCAGGGACCCCGGGGCGGCCGCGGGCGACGCCCTTGGGGCGCCCGTGGCCGGGGAGCGCCGGCCGCCCGGACGAGGCCCAGCGGCGCTCAGGCCCCGCGCGGCCCGGGCGCGCCCGTCACCCCGCGGGTCCGCCCGGCGCCCGCGCCCCGGCAGGTCCGCGCCCCTGCGGACCCGGACCCCCTTCAACCACGTGCTCGGGAACCGCCGACCGCACAACCCGGGGGACCCGAGGCGCCCCGCGGCCGCTGCCCCCAAACCTGCGTCCGCGGTCCTCGGTGCCAGAGCCCACTCGGACCCCGGACCACTGCGGGTCCTCGCCGGAAGCCGGGGCGGGCTCCGGGCCAGAGGTCAGGAGCAAGGTCACCGGGAGGAAGGGGATTCCGAGAAGCAGCGGCCCCGCCTGCGCCCCGGGCGCTCCCAGCCGAAGCCTGGGGCCGAAGCCCTCCAGGCTGCTAGCCAAGGTCTCCCAAGCTTGACCCGGTCTGCACCCTGGCCCCCATCTCTAAGCCCGGTCCACCATCACAGACTGGCCCTTGGCCTGAACTTTGGGTTCTATACAGCTTCAGCTCTGCTGCAGAAAACACCCCAGACACCCCCAGCTCCCTGCGGGCCTCACCCACCACCCCCTTGGCCCTAAACTCTGCCGGGTCCACCCTAAGCCCAGCCCAGTCCACGACTAGGCCACTTGGTCTGCTGTCCAGGGAAGGAGCACGCTGCATACTGGACACACGTGGCTTGGATTGCAGTCACACGGACGGACATGTGGTCCCGGCCCACGAGGACGGGCAGCAGCCTCCTCAGTGCCACCTGCACCACACAGGTGTGAGCAGAAGCGCTCCAGGTGGGGAGGCGGCTTGGAGCCGGTCTGAGGGCCCAGGCAGGAGGCAGGCAGGCTGGAAGGATTTCCGATGGCACCTGAGCATCACTTAAGACCTCAGCTGAACTGTGAAACCAACAGATGATGCCTTTGGCTGCTTCCAGCCCTGAGGTGAGCCACAAATATCAGCCGACTCCAGTGACCCAGGCAGGGTGCCTGTATGGAAAAGAGGGTGGAGATGGGTGTAGTCCCTCAGCACACTCCAGGAGGGCACCACCTCCTCTGGGGCTCGAACTCAAGGCCTCCGGCTCTCGGCTTTTTTGCTCGAGGCTGGCACTCTACCCCTTGAGCTCACAGCTCCACTTCCAGCTTTTTTACTGGTCAATTGGAGATAAGATTTTTAACAGACTTTCCTTCCTGGTCTGGCTTTTAATCTTGGTCCTCAAATCTCAGATTCCTAAGTAGCCGGGATTCAGGTGTGAGCCACCAGCATCTGGCATCATTACTTATTTTCTGAACACTAAAGACTTTTTTCTTTTTTGTGGTTCTGGACATCTGGTTTTTCCATGTGCTAGGCAGAGGCTCTACCACTGAGCTACCCCCCAGCCCAAGAAATTCTTCTTAAAAGAAGACATTAGGAGAACACTGACAAGTTTTGGAAGACAACAGCTATCCAGGAAGCTGTTTGCCATGGGCCTCTGCCCTCGGTGTGCACAGGTGTGAACACACCAGACAGCTTGTACACTGAACTTGCAAACTGGGGTACCATATTTCAGGCCTATGCTCCCTATTTTTTTTTTTTTTTTTGGATCCGGTCGTGGGGCCTGAACTCTGGGCCTGTGCGCTGTCCCTCAGCTCTTCAGCTCAAGGCTAGCGCTCTACCACTTGAGCCACAGCGCCACTTCCAGCTTTTTTTCATTTTGCTTATGTGGTGCTGAGGAATCGAACCCAGGACCTCATGCATGCAAGGCAAGCGCTCTACCACTGAGCCACCTTCCCAGCCCCTATGCTGCCTGTTCTGAGTTTGTTTTTTTGTTTGTTTGTTTTTTGTCAGTTGTGGGGCTTGAACTCTGGGCCTAGGCGCTGTCCCTCAGCTCTTCAGCTCAAGGCTAGTGTTCTACCACTTGAGCCAAAGCACCACTTCCGATTTTCTTTTCTTTTTTTTTTTTTGGTCAGTCGTGGGGCTTGAACTCTGGGCCTGGCCGCTGTCCTTCAGCTCTTTAGCTCAAGGCAAGTGCTCTACCACTTGAGCCACAGCACCACTTCTGGCTTTTTCTGTTTATGTGGTGCTAAGGAATAGAACCCAGGGCCTCAGGCATGCAAGGCAAGCACTCTACCACTGAGCCACCTTCCCAGCCCCCCACTTCCGATTTTCTGAGTGGCTTATTGGAGATAAGAGTGTCACAGACTTTACTGCTCCGGCTGGCTTTGAACCACGATGCTCAGATCTCAGCCTCCTGAGTAGCTAGGATGACAGGCGTGAGCCACTGGTGCCCAGCTTGATTCCTGTTTAATAGATGAGAAGTATTGGGTTTAGAAAGAACACACAGGGCTGGGAAGATGGCTCAGTGGTAGAGCGCTTGCCTAGCATGCTTGAGGCCCTGGGTTCCATTCCACTGCACCACATACGCAGAAAAAGCCAGAAGTGGCGCTTTGGCTCAAGTGGTAGCATGCTATCCTTGAGCTGAAGAGCTGAGGGACAGTGCCTAGGCCCAGAGTTCAGGCCCCAAGCCCGGACCCAAAAAAAAAAAAAAAAAGAACACGCAGCCTGGGTACTGGCAGGGGACTTGGGGGTGAGGGGTGGGGGGTGGGGAGGACTGGAGGGGAGGGGGGGAGACTGGGGGGAGAGGGCCTTGGGTTTCAGTCACCAGGGGCTGTGAAGTGGAGGAGATGATTCTGCAGTGGGGAATAGCCTGTGGTGTGTGAGGCTCTGGGTTCGCCTCCATACACCTCAGACACGGTTCTACCCTGGGGTTGGGGGCCTCAGCACCAATGACTCCTTTTCTCCAGAGAGCAGCAGGCTGGGAAAGTCAGAGTCCACGGAGTTGGGTCAAGGGACCCCGAACAGCTTTGCACCAAATGCTGGTCGCCCATTTTCCAAGGGCTCCTGCTGGGAGGCCCGTGGCCCCAGGGGCCTCTGTTCGAACATCAGGGTGGTGCAGAGTTGGCAAGATGTGTGGGCCTGTAGGCCGCGCTGCCTCCGCCCTGGGAGCAGCTTGATTCCTCCAGCCAAAGCCCCTCCTGGCTGAATCGCAGCTTCCCCAGAGCCTCTCCTCCCACCCCCTCGCCACTTCAGCAAATGGCAGCTCTGCTCCCTGGCAGCCCAGCCTCCGCTCCTCGGACATCTTGTCACACCTGAGATCCAATCCATCTCTGTCCTGAGGGGTCTGTCCTAAGACCTTCTCAGACCTTCTCTGTCTCCTGACCCTACTGCACCCCCCCTCCTCCAGGGGAGTGTGGCAGCCCTGCCCGGCCTCCCAGCTCCCCTCCTGCCCCTGCCCCGCGTCTCCTCCCACTCTGATCCCCCACAGCCTGTCCTGGAGTGCTAGGACCTGGCTCCCACCCCCAGCATGGTCCCCCTCCATCCCGCTCCTGGGCCCAGCTTGCCAGCCTTGGGCAGGCTGATGGGGAGACAGCAGGCGTCTCTGGTGAGTGAGCTGTAAGAGAAAAAACTGGCCCTCCACCTCCCGCCAGCCCCCGAGCTCGGCTGGGCTCCGAAAGACCCTGTTGCCCACCGTGCCTCCTCTTTAGGACCCAGCCCTGTGCCGACCAGGAAAGCAGCAGAGCCCCTGTCCAGGGGGGAGGGGGGGGAGGCTGTGTTGTGGCAGGGACAGTGGCAGCAGCCCGCGTGCCCTGCCCCAGGCCCAGGCCTGCAGCAGCAGCAGCAGCCGTCTCTCCGTTTTAGCAGTTGGGATTTTGCCCACTCCCCCTCCAGCTTGAGGCCACGACCTCTTTTAACACCAAAGCTGCCCTGGCCCCGCAGCCCACTGCCATGGATGAGGAGTCATCCAGGGTCCCAGGGCAGAGCCAGCTGCGGGGGGGGGGGGGGGGGGGGCAGCCATGGAGCCAAAGGGCAAAGGCGAGAACCACCCTAGACATCAGGCAGAGGCCTCACCCTGCAGCTGGGCAGGGTCTCAGCCGCCCTACAGACAAAGCCCAGTCCTGTGGCCCACTGTGAGCACCCGTCCACCTCTACCTTTCCTCCGGGCCTGGACGTCCAGCCAGTCCACTTGCCCAGCCCATGACAAGTGGATTCTGGCCACCTGAGAGCCAGCAGGAGGCGTGGTGGCTCGTGACAGTGCAGCTTCCCCGTGCCCCTGCCCAATGCTGGTCTCACGGGGGTTAAGCAGAGAATATCGGTGGACCTGGACAGGTCGAGGCCCACCCCCCAGCCCCTCTTAGCCGGGGTCAGGCCAGTCAACCGCTCTTCCCTGGACTGGAGTGCTGAGCAAATCACGCTGTGACCACTGTGTCAGACTCCCGCCGCCCGCAGCCAGGTAGCCTGTGTGGAGGTCGGGGAGGGGAGGGCCTCCCTGGAATGCTGGCTTCCCATCCAAAGTGGGCGGTGGAGGGCCAGGCAACCATCACTGTTGGGCTCCTGTAGGGACACTGAGCCAGTCCACTGGTCTGCACTAAAAAGCCCCTGAACTCCCCACACCGCACTGCTGCCCTGGCGCTGAAGTCCAAAAGTGTCCCAAGGAGGGAGGGCAGCGAGATGTCTCCAGGACCCAGGCCAGCCCCAGCGCCCAGTCCCACCGGTAGCTCCAGACCACACTCCAGGGGCACGGTGGGTGACGGCGTCCGTGTGGCCCTCACCGCTGCCCTGAGGCCCAGCCAGCCAGGACTTCCGGGTGTGCAAACATCTGTGCGGCTGGCGCACAGCCCCTGGGGATGCCTGCTCTGACCA